CTTTAAGTATTAGCCAAGGAAGCGAAAATACCGGGTAATGTTGTCTCACAAAATAGCTACTTTTGAGTGCCTTGGCAAATTCACAATTTACATGCGAAATGAAAAAAAGAGTTTAGCTTAGCTGTTGTCAATTTATAAAAATATGCTTACCTAGTGGGAGAATCAATTTTCTCAGACTATACTGACATGTAAAAAGCAATATTTCGATATTTGATCATAGATTTCCCAGAAATTATCACGAATTTAGCTCTCTTGCCACGTTTAATAAAGAAGAAATATTACAGTTTGCTTTTTATGTTTGAAATACATTAAACAGTTAACAAAAATGTAATACAAACTCGCTGCAAATTTCTCTAAAACGGTTTGCAAAATTGCAGAAGATAAAACTAGACTTGATGTAATGTGTTTGGACCCATATCTTTTCGGATATCTGGCCTAAATCTGCCCTTAAATTACTTCATTGAATCCCTAAGAGACTTGTAATATATCCCCTTTTCTTGTATACATGAAGTCAACGAATTCAACTGCCAAGATTTAACCGATAACTTTCCGTTACTGTTTTGGAAACTTCCGTAACCCCATACATTAAATTCATTCATGGACGTTTAATTATATGCGATGTTACTTCACTAAACTTAAGAAACATAGACAGATAACTTGCACCACTTACCTTGAAATAATGATCTCCGACGATAACAGAATACGATTTCAAACCATCTGTTTCCACTTCAGAAAAAAAAAAAGCTTAAACCACCCCTCCGCGTTTTTATTTAAATGCAGATCCTGCCAATAAACATGACCATTTTTGACTTTAAAATTTCGAAAACCAAATTAAAATGAAGACTGTGATGAAGGAACATGAAGGTAAACAATAATACACTTAGGATGGTGATTGGGTTTCCATAGCAACTTATGCCATACAGTTAGCAGGTGCTTGGACCAATTATACGCGGAAAATTGACACCCCTTTGTTCAGATATGTTTAATATTCAACATCAGTTGAATATCTGTTTGAATTCTTACTTATAGAACCAAAAAAGACAAAGGTATATATGTCTGAAGAAAGTTGCAAAGTTAAAGGAGCCCAGTCACGGTTTGCACATTTTGAAAAGTTTAGCCTAAATTTTTCAAATTCGTCGTTTGCAATCCGTGTCAATCTTCGCCATTCTTGACCATCCTTGTTCCTTTATGGTTTATTATTATCTCTTTGATGTTTTTCTATCTTAGTAAACTATTATTTTCAGGTTTCCTTCCATTTAAAGGAGATTTTGTACGTGCCCCCAAAAAGACAAAACACCGTGACTGAGCTCCTTTAACAAGTTTACCAGATACTTAAATGCATGGTGGAGCAATTTCAATTTTGCCACCAGAATTCGCTTTGTAATGTCTTGATATTTACGGCTGGAAATTGCAACCTGAACTTTGTAAACACTTTTGACGACGCCTATCTTCAAAGTCAAAATAACATGAATAACCTAGATAAATTTCGCTGTTTTCCTCATGTTTACAATGGAAGGTCTTTTAAGAACGGTATCTCCTTAGTTAGAAGCGGCTCGCTAAGGTCGTGCTGAAGATGTTCAGAGCCATTGGCAAAAATGTACCCGGTTAGTTTCATCAGTGGCGCACAGGCCTCCTCAAACAAGGAAACTAGCGAGGAGTCTCGGTCGAATCTCCAATGACCTATCCTCTTAACATCATTTTCCGACACCTTAAAAGTTGATACTCCGGTTCCCACAGGCTTTTCACCTTCCACAATCCACTTATATATCGACTCAACCATGGAGAGACCAACAAAGTTGTACAACTCGTCTGCCGTGCTGAGAGCATTTCCTACAATATCTTCATAGCGGATTACCTTGTATCGGCCTTTAAACCAGTTTAACCAGTTTTCCTTTGCATAGTTTATATTGTTGGAAACTTGCGAGCACATTAACTCAGCGTGCTGCTTCACTAATTCCCTTCCTTCCGTGGTTAAAGAACTTGAAGTAAGCAGTTTTCTCTTTGGTCCTCCCATGATGAAGAATTTACGGCCCAGCAAAGATGACACCACAGCACGTGGATCCCTCACAAGATGTATAATCAAACAGTCAAATCTAGCTGGGTCCGCAGTGCAGACCCTCTGGAGTTCTTGGATTCCAATATTTCGTGGCAGTCGTGTTTGCATGACTTTCGCCACGGTTAATTTCTTAGCTTTGCAAGCATTACCTACTGCCTCTTTGGTGAATTCTGGACTTGAAAACCGCCAATAAGTAAATCTTTTTAATCTCCTCGCGAACGGAGGAATTACCCTTTCCAAAGTAGCGTCCTCTCGAAATCCGCAGTCAAAAACGTCCCTAAACAGAGTTGAAAAATCAGATTTGTACTCATCATTAGTTGCGTTATCAAACGGATTCCACTCGTTCCCATAAACAGCTCTCCTTAAGTGGTGCAGGGGCTCATACAGATAGAATACATCAGGATGCAGGTTAAATATGTTCCCAGCAAATGTTGAACCAGAACTCATATGTGTTAAAATGATGACATTCCATCTTTTGGTGTCTCTAGTTGCAGTAGATGGTTTAATTGAAGGGGAGGTTCCTAGTTCATCGATAACAGGTTCAGGCTGGAAATCTTGTGACTCCTGCGTCATAACTGAAACAACCAAGACAACAATGGCCGCAATACAAGAAACAAACAAGGCGAAGATTTTTCCACGATTACCAGGACAACTGCAACAACAACAACAATAACAGTAGAATTCAGTCACGTCAAATACATTTTACCTCAAATCTCTTTTAAGCCTCCTCTCTTCTCAAACAAGCCGTCACTCTAATTAATTACCCCTCCTTTTTGGAGCAAGAATCAAGCCCCCTGTCCATTTTTAGCACCCCCCCCCCCCGCCAACCCCCATTTTCGTTTACAGCCGGAACAAAAATTGGGGAACATAACTGGGTCTTGTACAATGGCTCTAGAGATCTGGTGTACTGATTTCCATTATGCTTTAACATAACGCTTTAATACAAAAATTACTGAGTAAGAAAAAGCTATCGGATGTTTTATTTTACAATACCGATTATTAAGATGTAGATCATTGGATAATGAGTTCAAGAGTTTTAATTGGCTTAGCCAACACGTGTTATGAACCATTATACCATCATCTACAAATATGGTAAGCGTACGCGCGATATTTTTGGGGCGCTTTTATCATTATATTAGTCTAGTTTGCTATATTTTGGGGGCGGTTTTAATAAAACAGTTATTCTACTCGCGCTTGTTGGATATGAAATCATTATAGCCAACTCATATCCAACGCACGCTGGTTGAAAAACTGTTAAATTCTCTTTCTGATAATGTGACAATTTTTGAATGAGATTAAATTTCAATGAACATTTCGAAATAAAAATGAGCGATAGAAATTTTACACAACGTTTCGATGTCGTCATGACATCATTATCAAAAGACAAGAAAATAACGGTTCAACAGTCTGGCGGTTCAACAGTTCTTTGCCGAGGTTTAAAGTTTTCCTTGCCACAACGAATATCCGCCATTAATGTACAAGCTAGTTTCGAGAAATTGTACTGGAAACTGGAGCGCACTCTATCCGATGACAAGAAAGAGTTAACCGCAGCCACCCTCCGATCGATTGCACTTAATTACATCGAGAGCAAATTACCGAAGCCACCGAAAACACTGCAAAGGGCCATAAAGCAGCTGAAACAACTAGATAACATCGTCGTAACGAAGCCAGATAAAGGTACCGGTGTAGTCGTTATGAACAAATCTGATTATGTTTATAGCCTTCTGGGTCAGGCATCTATAAACGATACATCTATATTCGCTCCTGTCAGCTTGCAGAGACCAAAAATGAAAGGCCGGCCATTGAAACATTACCACCCCCTGTTGCAGAAGGAGAAGCACCTCGATTCTGTGGTTCGTAAGATTTTGCCAAAGGAGATTGCCAATTCCGCTTGTCAGAAAGGCTCACGCCTTGCCCACCGTTATGGTCTTCCAAAGACACGCAAAGATAAGTTATCAATGAGACCAATCTTGTCTGCCACGGGCACCTACAACTATGCGCTCGCCAAGTGGATTGATGAAAAACTGAAGCCGCTGTCAGTTAATCGCTACACGATTTCTGATACGTTCGCTTTTGCGGAAGAGATTCAAAACCTAAAAGTCGACGAAAATGACATTTTGGTATCCTATGATGTCACGTCTTTGTTTACTAATGTATCACTTAAGGAAACTATCGAAATGATCGCCGAAAAAGCGTTCGTAAACAACTGGTTTAACGAAACACACAAGTTAAACATCACTCAGCCTGACCTGATTCAACTTCTAGAAGTAGCAGCTAAGAACCAATTGTTCCAGTTCGATGGCAAGCTTTATGAACAGACTGACGGAGTGGCAATGGGCTCACCTTTGGGACCCCTTATGGCAAACGCATTTCTCTCCTCCATCGAAGAGAAATTAGAACATGACAACAAGCTCCCAGAGTTTTATAGGCGGTGCGTCGATGACACGCTTGCCACGATGAAGGATGTGCCAGCAGCAGAAGCCTTTTT